TCTTCTCATCAACTTCACATCATCTACAAACAGGGACACTTTGGAGTCTATTCCTTCCGTCATGTCGTTCACAAATACCAGAAACAGCACTGGTCCTAGGACTGACCCCTGTGGGACCCCGCTGGTCACAGGTGCCCACTCTGATACCTCGCCACGTACCATGACTCGCTGCTGTCTTCCTGACAAGTATTCCCTGATCCAATGTAGTGCCTTCCCTGTTATCCCTGCTTGGTCCTCCAGTTTTTGCACTAATCTCTTGTGTGGAACTGTGTCAAACGCCTTCTTGCAGTCCAAGAAAATGTGTGTGTGTGTGTGTGTGTGTGTGTGTGTTGCGACACTAGTGTTCAGTATTATGACAGTGTTGTTTAGTGTTGCTAGTGTTTAGTGTTGCTACAATAGTATTTAGCGTTGCAACATCTGCACTTAAAGCCCTCTTCCACGGACGTCTCTCCAGTGTTCCCGAAAATTGTCACGGCTTTCCTTCCGGTACTGTGTCGTGAAAATGTACGTTATTGTTAGTTGCTGCCACGGACGACCTTGACGTCTAGATTCAGGGACGACCTTAACGTTCAGATTAACGGACGTCCTTAGCGTCTAGAGTCACGGACGACCTTGACGCTGATTCACGGGCGACCTTGAAGCTGATTCACGGACGACTTTGACGCTGATTCACGGACGACCTTCGCGTCTAAGCTCACGATCAACCTTAACGACTAGATTCACGGACAACCTCGGTCTAGATTCACGGAGGAGCCTTGATGACCAGATTCAAGAACAACAGTGCTACCACGTACACCCCTGTGCCTAGATGCTGCTTTAAAGGCTCTCGACCCAGGAGACCGAAGCTAAACTCCTCTTTCTCGGATCAAGCTTGATAACCCCCCCCCCCTTCAAGCGATGGTTCACCTACAGACATGTTAATTAAGCTACCCTACCAAACAATACCGTCAGTGTGGAGATAAAAGTCACTATGTGGGCAAAACGTAGTCAATAATCACATTATAATGCACTTCTTTATTTTTCCAATACTGTCACAATAATAATAATAATAATAATAATAATAATAATAATAATAATAATAATAATAATAATAATTGCACCTCAACTCTGACATTCCCGCAGATAAAATCCACAAATCTATACAGACAACAAATGCTTAACAATAGACTCGGGCTGGGTACAAAATTCTGCTGTAATAACAAAAGTTCAGATGCCAAAAAGTGTGTTTGAATTATATAGAATTACATTTGTTCAATTGTTGCAGATTTATAGTGGTGAAACAATGGAATGTAATTAATCTGATAACAAAAATTATTTCAAACAAAACACCTTATAACACAATGTTAAGTGCGGCAGGTGCGGTAAGTGCGGCAGGTGCGGTAAGTGTGGCAGGTGCGGTAAGTGTGGCAGGTGCGGTAAGTGCGGCAGGTGCGGTAAGTGTGGCAGGTGCGGTAAGTGCGGCAGGTGCGGTAAGTGTGGCAGGTGCGGTAAGTGCGATAGGTGCGGTAAGTGCGGCAGGTGCAGTAAGTGCGGCAGGTGCGTAAGTGCGGCAGGTGCAGTAAGTGGGCAGGTGCGTAAGTGCGGCAGGTGCAGTAAGTGCGGCAGGTGCGTAAGTGCGGCAGGTGCAGTAAGTGCGGCAGGTGCGGTAAGTGTTGGGGCAGGTGCAGTAAGTTGCGGCAGGTGCGGTAAGTGTCGGCAGGTGCAGTAAGTGCGGCAGGGCGTAAGTGCAGCAGGTGCAGTAAGTGCGGCAGGCGCAGTAAGTGCGGCAGGTGCGGTAAGTGCGGCAGGTGCAGTAAGTGCGGCAGGTGCAGTAAGTGCGGCAGGTGCAGTAAGTGCGGCAGGTGCGGTAAGTGCGGCAGGTGCGGTAAGTGCGGCAGGTGCAGTAAGTGCGGCAGGTGCGGTAAGTGCGGCAGGTGCGGTAAGTGCGGCAGGTGCGGTAAGTGCGGCAGGCGCAGTAAGTGCGGCAGGGCGGTAAGTGCGGCAGGTGCGTAAGTGCGGCAGGTGCAGTAAGTGCGGCAGGTGCAGTAAGTGCGGCAGGTGCAGTAAGTGCGGCAGGTGCAGTAAGTGCGGCAGGTGCAGTAAGTGCGGCAGGTGCAGTAAGTGCGGCAGGTGCAGTAAGTGCGGCAGGTGCAGTAAGTGCGGCAGGTGCGGTAAGTGCGGCAGGTGCAGTAAGTGCGGCAGGTGCAGTAAGTGCGGCAGGCGCAGAAAGTGCGGCAGGTCAGTAAGTGCGGCAGGTGCAGTAAGTGCAGCAGGTGCAGTAAGTGCGCGGGCAGAGTGGGGCAGGCAGTAAGTGCGGCAGGTGCAGTAATGCGCAGGTGCAGTAAGTGCGGCAGGTGCAGTAAGTGCGGCAGGTGCAGTAATGCGGCAGGTGCAGTAAGTGCGCAGGTGCAGTAAGTGCAGGCAGGTGCAGTAAGTGCGGCAGGGCAGTAAGTGCGCAGGTGCAGTAAGTGCGGCAGGTGCAGTAAGTGCGGCAGGTGCAGTAAGTGCGGCAGGTGCAGTAAGTGCGGCAGGCGCAGTAAGTGCGGCAGGCGCAGTAAGTGCGGCAGGTGCAGTAAGTGCAGCAGGCGCAGTAAGTGCGGCAGGTGCAGTAAGTGCGGCAGGTGCAGTAAGTGCGGCAGGTGCAGTAAGTGCAGCAGGTGCAGTAAGTGCGGCAGGTGCAGTAAGTGCGGTAGGTGCAGTAAGTGCGGCAGGTGCAGTAAGTGCGGCAGGTGCAGTAAGTGCGGCAGGTGCGGTAGCAGCATCTATATGCACCTTCTACCTTCACCTAGCAGTCAGCACGAAGTGTTCACTGCCAGGTGAAGGTATCAACATACACAACACATCATCAACGTACACAGTACATCAATGAACAAAGCACATCATCGACGTACACAGCGTATCATCAACGTACACATTACAACGTCAACGTACACAGCAAAAACTACACAGTACATCTTCAACGTAAACAGCACATCAACGTTCGCAGCACATTAACGTACACAGCACATCAAAGTACGCATCACAACGTCAACTTACACAGCACATGAATGTACACAGCACATCAACGTACACAGCACATTATCAACGTACACAGCACATCAACGTACACAGCACATCATCAACGTACACAGCACATCATCAACGTACACAGCATATCATCAGCGTACACAGTACACCATCAACGTACAAGCATATCAACGTACACAGCACATCATCAATGTACGTAGCACATCAACGTACACAGCACATCAACGTACATAGCACATCATCAACGTACACAGCACATCAACGTATACAGCACATCAACGTACACAGTATATCGTCATACACAATACATTATCAATGTACACAGCACATCAACGTGCCGAGTACATCATCGACATACACAGCGCATCATCAACGTACACAGCACACCATCAACGTATGCAGCACATCAATATTCACAGCACATCATCAACGTACACAGCACACCATCAACGTATGCAGCACATCAATATTCACAGCACATAACATACACAGTACATCAACGTAAACAGTACATCAACGTAAACAGTACATCAACGTACACAGCACATCATCAACGTACACAGCACATCAACGTACACGGCACATCAACGTACACAGCACATCAACGTACACAGCACATCAACGTACACAGCACATCAACGTACACAGTACATCAACGTACACAGCACATCATCAACGTACACAGTACATCAACGTACACAGTACATCAACGTACACAGCACATCATCAACGTACACAGCACATCAACGTACACAGTACATCAACGTACACAGCACATCATCAACGTACACAGTACATCAACGTACACAGTACATCAACGTACACATCACATCAACGTACACAGCACATTATCAACTTACACAGTACATCAACGTACACAGTACATCAACGTACACAGCACATCATCAACGTACACAGTACATCAACGAAACACAGCACCATCAACGTACACAGTACATCAACGTACACAGCACATCAACGTACACAGTACATCAACGTACACAGCACATCATCAACGTACACAGCACATCAACGTACACAGTACATCAACGTACACAGCACATCAACGTACACAGTACATCAACGTACACAGCACATCATCAATGTACACAGTACATCAACGTACATAGCACATCAACGTACACAGTACATCAACGTACACAGCACATCATCAACTTACACAGTACATCAACGTACACTGTACATCAACGTACACAGTACATCAACGTACACAGCACATCATCAACGTACACAGTACATCAACGTACACAGTACATCAACGTACACAGCACATCAACGTACACAACATCATCAACGTACACAGTACATCAACGTACACAGTACATCAACGTACACATCACATCAACGTACACAGCACATTATCAACTTACACAGTACATCAACGTACACAGTACATCAACGTACACAGCACATCAACGTACACAGTACATCAACGTACACAGTACATCAACGTACACAGCACATCAACGTACACAGCACATCAACGTACACAGTACATCAACGTACACAGCACATCATCAACGTACACAGCACATCAACGTACACAGTACATCAACGTACACAGCACATCAACGTACACAGTACATCAACGTACACAGCACATCATCAATGTACACAGTACATCAACGTACATAGCACATCAACGTACACAGTACATCAACGTACACAGCACATCATCAACTTACACAGTACATCAACGTACACTGTACATCAACGTACACAGTACATCAATGTACACAGCACATCATCAACGTACACAGTACATCAACGTACACAGTACATCAACGTACACAGCACATCAACGTACACAACATCATCAACGTACACAGTACATCAACGTACACAGCACATCATCAACGTACACAGTACATCAACGTACACAGTACATCAACGTACACAGCACATCAACGTACACAACACATCATCAACGTACACAGTACATCAACGTACACAGCACAGTGCTTACTACCTACCTGTTGTTGTTGGTGTTGAACGCGTCTTGTGGCGCACACGGCACTTGTAGCCTTGTAATCCTGACACAAACAACACTATCCACTTCTTATCTCTCCACCACCAACAATGGATATCTCTAAGATATCTTCACTAACTTTCCCCTTAACTTTCTCTCACTTGGCGGATGAAATAAGAGTGATTCGATCGGGATGTTCACATGGGCGGTCCGCCCTCACTGGTGTCTAGCGTCACACTCGCCAGCTACACCTGAGTCGAGCTTTCTCCCACCCCGCTCAACACCTGAGATCCTCGCACTGATTGGCTGCTGCCCTGGAAGCACAACGCTCATTGGTTCTACCGGAACGCCTTCTCCTCCAACCAGAGGACCAGTAGCCCCTCATACCGGGGGTGTTGATAAGCAGGCCGACCAAGACTCCAGGTCTCAGTAGGCACAAGTCCAGTAGTGGGAGGGTTACTCCCGCAGAGTTAACCATGAAGACTCCAGGTATCAATAGTCACTAGTCCAGCAGTAGGAGAGTTACTCCCGCAGAGTTAACAATGGAAACTCCAGGTCTCAGTAGTCACCAGTCCAGCAGTGGGAGAGTCAATCCCGCAGAGTTAACCATTTACCTGCAGCAGGAGGGTCACCCCAGTAGAGCAACACAGACTTCAGGAGGGGACAAGCAAGTCGAATATTTGCAAACTTTTCACCACATCATGAAGTCATAGACAAAACTAGAAAACAGAGAGAGAGGCAAGACGAAAATAAACCAGAAGGAAATAAACAAAACACTTCAGCTGTCACCACATACTTCACAAGAAGAAACAACAGCTCCAGCATAAACAACAGCACCAGCTCCACAACAGCCCCGATCAGCAACAACAGCTCCAGCATCAGCAACAACAGCTCCAGCATCAGCAACAACAGCTCCAGCATCAGCAACAACAGCTCCAGCAGCAGCAACACAGCTCCAGCATTCAGCAAAAACAGCTCCAGCAGCAGCAACAACAGCTCCAGCATCAGCAACAGCAGCTCCAGCATCAGCAACAACAGCTCCAGCAGCAGCAACAGCAGCTCCATCATCAGCAACAACAGCTCCAGCAGCAGCAACAACAGCTCCAGCATCAGCAACAACAGCTCCAGCAGCAGCAACAGCAGCTCCAGCATCAGCAACAACAGCTCCAGCAGGCAGCAACAACAGCTCCACATCAGCAACAACAGCTCCAGCAGCAGCAACAACAGCTCCAGCATCAGCAACAACAGCTCCAGCATCAGCAACAGCAGCTCCAGCATCAGCAACAACAGCTCCAGCATCAGTAACAGCAGCTCCAGCATCAGCAACAGCAGCTCCAGCATCAGCAACAACAGCTCCAGCATCAGTAACAGCAGCTCCAGGATCAGCAACAGCAGCTCCAGCATCAGCAACAACAGCTCCAGCATCAGCAACAAAAGCTCCAGCAACAAAAGCTCCAGCATCAGCAACATCAGCGCTAGCATCAGCAACAGCACCTCCAACATCAGCAACAGCAGCTCCAGCAACTACAGCTCCAGCATCAGCAACAACAGCTCCAGCATCAGCAACAACAGCTCCAGCAACAGCAACAACAGCTCCAGCATCAGCAACAACAGCTCCAGCATCAGCAACAACAGCTCCAGCATCAGCAACAACAGCTCCAACAACAACAGCTCCAGAATCAGCAACAGCAGCTCCAGCATCAGCAGCTACAGCATCAGCAAGAACAGCTCCAGCAAAAGCAACAACAGCTCTAGCAACAGCAACTATAGCATCAGCAAAAGCAGCTCCAACAGCAGCTCCAGCAACAGCAGCTCCAGCATCAGCAAACAGCAGCTCCAGCATCAGCAACAACAGCTCCAGCATCAGCAACAACAGCTCCAGCCTCAGCAACGGTAGCTCCAGCACCAGCAACAGCTGCTCCAGCATCAGCAAACAGCAGCTCCAGCATCAGCAACAACAGCTCCAGCAACAGCAGCTCCAGCATCAGCAACAACAGCTCCAACATCAGCAACAACAGCTCCAGCATCAGCAACAACAGCTCCAGCAACAGCAGCTCCAGCATCAGCAGCTACAGCATCAGCAAGAACAGCTCCAGCAAAAGCAACAACAGCTCTAGCAACAGCAACTATAGCATCAGCAAAAGCAGCTCCAACAGCAGCTCCAGCAACAGCAGCTCCAGCATCAGCAAACAGCAGCTCCAGCATCAGCAACAACAGCTCCAGCAACAGCAGCTCCACATCAGCAACAACAGCTCCAACATCAGCAACAACAGCTCCAGCCTCAGCAACGGTAGCTCCAGCTCCAGCAACAGCTGCTCCACATCAGCAACAACAGCTCCAGCATCAGCAGCAGCAGTTCCAGCAACATCAACAACAGCTCCAGCCTCAGCAACGGTAGCTCCAGCACCAGCAACAGCTGCTCCAGCATTAAGAACAACAGTTCCAGCATCAGCAGCAGCAGTTCCAGCATCAGCAACCGCAGTTCCAGCATCAGCAGTTCCAGCATCATCAACAATAGTTCCAGCATCAGCAAAAACTGCACCAGCATTAGCAACAGCAGTTCCAGCATCAGCAGCAGCAGTTCCAGCATCAGCAACAACAGCTGCAGCATCAGCAACAGCAGTTCCAGCATCAGCACCAACAGTTCCAGAATCAGCAACAACTGCTCCAGCATCAGCAACAACTGCTCTAGCATCAGCAACATCAGTTCCAGCAACAGCAGCTCCAGCATCAGCAACAACTGATCCAGGATCAGCAACAGCAGTTCCAGCATCAGCAACAGCAGTTTCAGCATCAACAACAACTCCAGCATCAGCAACAGCAGTTCCAGCATCAGCAGTTCCAGTATCAGCAGCAAGAGCTCCAGCATCAGTAACAGCAGTTCCAGCATCAGCAGCAAGAGCTCCAGTATCAGCAACAGCAGTTCCAGCATTAGGAGGAACTGAAGAAGCCTACTGTGTACTCATCAACACTGACCAATAGGCCTATGGTAGTGTCCACTGTTCCAGTGTTCTCATGGTTGGTCTTCAAAACACACCAGCAGGGTGGTGGTACGTCTTATTTGCTTCATTGATGAAAGTTGTTGATTATGCAACATCATTGATGAACGCTGTTGCTGATGTAATACCATTAATGAACGTTCTTGTTGTAACATCTTTGACGAACGTTATTGATGCCCACTGTTCTAGTGTTCTCATGGTTGGTCTTCAGAACACACCAGCAGGGTGGTGGTACGTCTTATTTGCTTCATTGGTGAAAGTTGTTGATTATGCAACATCATTGATGAACGCTGTTTATGATGTAACGTCATTAATGAACGTTCTTGATGTAACATCTTTGATGAACGTTCTTGATGTAATATTAATGAAGGCTCTTGATGTAATATCCTTGGTGAACGTTCTTGATGATGTAACATCATTTTCTTGGACTAGAGTTGCCTGGATGTACTATTTTATTAGAGAATACCCAGTTTGAGCTTCCACTTTTCAGTGGTACACGGAACTCGGTTTTAATTATCGGTTGATCTTTACCTCAGCCACACTGTTAGGTTTTCTGGTGGTATCAAACTTGGTAATTATTGCTAAAAAGTGTTTTTAAAAGTCGCTAGAGCAAGTACTAGAACATATTAGAAAAGTGTTTCGGTCCTGGGATCTTGGTTACCTCAAACATACTAAGGTCAAGACTAACAGTAGTTATATAATAGTCTTAGTCTTAATAGTGAGGTGTGGGAGACGGGCAGTGACCAGATGAAAGTGCAGTTGAGGTTTAGTGATGACGTTAGGTAACATATGAAGTCAGGTGATTCCTGTGTTGTGAGGCAGGTTGAGCTTGATCTAGTTCAGTATCTTGTATGACATTTTTTTTTTTTTTTAATTTTGTAGCTTCCAGCATTTCTTACCAGGGTGTGAGGGACTGACCAGTGAGGCTTTAACGCACCCTCGACGCCTGAACTCAGGGTCGGTGAGGACGAGTTGCAGCGCCTCATTAAAATTCATCTATTGTCCGTTTGAGATTCTGTGGAGGACACAGGCGCACTTTTAGCTCGTACTTGTTGCAGGCACTTCGATCACTCGAGCTGACAAACAGAGCTCTGCCTCTGGGGCAGTGTCCACAGGAGACTGGGTGGACTCCTGCCGTGGTAGTAAGAGGTGTAAGACTTAGTTTCGTAGTGAGATCTTTAGTAGATGCATTGATGTTGCTTCTTGCAAGCACCTGGTGGGTATTCCTACCAACATACCCACATGGGTACACTAATACCTGGTTGGAGACATACGCCATGGAGGACTTGCTCAGGTTCGTTCACAACACAGTGTTTGTTGAGAAATGGCATTACCAGCTAAGTTTAAAGAGTTTGTACTTAACTTAGAAAGACAACTCATCGCCTGCACAGCCGCCCCTGCAGACGAGGTCTTGACAAGCTGTCAAAGTCATCTCTCAACGGGCTGTCAAGAGTTATAATTTGTAAGATTATAAATTACCCCTAGGGGGTGTTATGTCAGCATATTTCATTCACTGATGGCTGACAAACTTACTTGTGTGGACTCAAAAGTCCGCCCCTTACTGCCGACTATAGGTTGATTACAAACTCCTTGCGACTCAAGAACTGCGCAGTCCCCCGTACTACAAGAAATTCGTAACCTACCTTGCTCTTGTAGCGTGAGCTATAGTGTTCTTCACACCTTCGACAGATATCGGTGACTTGATAGAAGCTGAAGTGTCCTTGGATGTCCACGTCTTCCATAGCCTAGGAATACGCACACTGGTACACTATGTTCCACAAGATTTGTCTTTATTGGTCACAATCTTATCACTAAAGAAGCTGATCACACTTCTCTTAAGTGTTTATTGTGTTTTATGAGACACTTTGTTCACACTAACGCACAGATCGTTCTTTGTTGGTTATCCTGGCGTCAGTGTCACTCTCAGTAGAGTCAAAAGTAATCTGAAGACGCCACAGCGCCCCACGCCGTTACTCCCCTAGCACAAAGGAAAAGCTGACCTAGTACTTTTGCTTCCTTGCCACTTCCTCGATGAAGCAAAGCAGAATGTTTAAATCTTGCTGTCTTAAGCATAGACAACAATATCCACTATCTTTACTATGGTAATAAAGTGGGAGCAGGATTTTCCTTAATTGTCCTGCTAAAGTAAGAGATGTACTGTCTCTTATTAAAATACACTCTGCAACACTGGACTGCAAGGAGCAGCGGTCGTTTGACCACGTCGCATACTCGTACT